CATTACAAAATTAGATTTTTACAAACGAGAACCCCTATTTTTTACTGTTGATTTTTTGACGGATAGTTTGATGTAGCTATGTTATAAATTTAWAATATGATTCATCAACGTTTGAAATAAATAACTCAGAAATTACTCGTTAGAATTTCGATTTAGATTCGATTCAACATTATCCAATATCTATTAAGTATAATTCACTATCTAAAAGGAGAGTGGAGATGATCGTTATTTGAAAAACAAAAGTTTTTATGAACCTTTGAGGGAAACCTCTTAAGTATCTTGTTTTATACCTATGTTCTAAATGTCAGAATTTTTAATAACTGCAACATTATTGATCAAGAAAAAGTAGGAGATTTTATCACCCTGTATATTAATGAAATATTATTATACATATACTTTAATTCATAAAGATATAATGGATATTTGAAAACATMAAAAACGATTTCAGTATTTTATTATASATACTTATTTAAATATCATCGTTAAAATACACGTCACCTTTCTGTAACATTTATACCGAGGTATATTTATCGTTTATGCCGTATAACGCAGAGAAACTTTTTTTTCATCGTATAGCAGAAATAGCTAGCGACGAAGTATTATCGTGAATGAAAAACTTCTTAAATTTTAAGAATATCGATTGCTGTGCAAAACAAAAAAATCACACTGTATACACGTAATGAGACGTGAGAGGTATACGCAAGTCTAACAATACGTTAGTTCAGTAGTTGGAATATTATTATAATATGATAATATTMTGGATTTCCGGTGAGAAAACAACAGTATTTAGATACTTCCGCGTGAACAGAGAGCGCACAGTTATAGTGGTCATCATTGTGCATAATATTATATTAATACTTTATGTGCATGTGCAAAATTACTAAAATTGTGTTAGTAAACTGTTGACGGGGAATTTGCAGACAATGTAATGTAACATCTCGACTGTTAATAAGTCGCCGGTGGATGAAAAAAATATTGTCAATGATATAATAATCTTACGAGTAGTTTCTCAGTTATTTAAATGTTTTTACTACRCCTAAGTGTAATAATAGTCTTTAAAAACGGTTTAAAAAAAATATAAATTATACGTAATATTGGAATTACTAATTTATTATTACACTATTGGATCATTTTTTACAAATTATAATTAATGTTGATGAATTAATATCAATGACTTACATTTTCAAATCTCCATAGTCCTTATATTTTATAAGCCCATTACCACAGACCTTTGAGCACGAAWTTAGATAACTCAAAAACTATCAGTACGAATTTTGATTTTGATCTACTGAATGATGATTTACAGCTGAAAAGACGGGTTCAGATTTGAAAGAAAAAAAAAAGAAGTTTGGGACACTCCTCCCAAGTGAAGTGGTACAAAAATATCTCAAGAATTTGATAATATCCCTGTGTGGAAATCACATAGTAGTAGGTAGTTATGTGATGTCACATTTGAGACTTATAAATACAATCGCTGGGATATCAAAATCACATTAATGCACACAGGGATTATGGTCTTATACCCATTYGCGTATTTAAAAATTGCAAAAATCAGATTTAAATAACCGCATTTAGTTCAAGAAAAAAAAAAGATGACGAACATGCTCTGTGAATCGCTCTGTATATGAATATAATAATAATAAYAATGAAGATGATGTTATATTATGTGTGTGGTGCTACGCAATGAGATTTTTGTCAAACGTTCATATCCACTTCGCCGTCATAATAATATTATTATTGTCACTTACGTCAAGTCAGTTTCCAGCCTGATAATCTCTTGCTTGTAAATGTCCTCTTCCCGATCCACGTGTGCCCTTTCCTTCGATCCAGATTCGCTCCACGCCTGGTCGGCGCCGGAAGCGATCAACGTTCTAGATAATGTTATATGGTTAGACACAACACAACGTTATTCAGCACGATTGAATATTATTACGTAGGTATACCATAATAAAATAATTTATTATGTTGTGAGCACGCAGCAGCGGCGGCGGCGGTCGAAAAAAATCTTCACGACCTCTTCGCTAATCGTTCGTCGTATATAATGTATACACGAGCGCGTCTATTAATTTAAGCATATGTAATATTAATATAAACGATTAAATCCGAGAGTATTTCGTGACCGTTTCTGCGTTTTTTTTTATTTTACATCGAAAAACATTTTTTTCACAAACGCAGGTACATTAAWATGATTTAATATGATATCATATTATAGTGTATATGTTAAACGGAAAAAAAAAAATAAATGCGCTACGGGCGTCAGCATAGCAGTATAGTTTGGGCAACAATATAGAATTGTATTACTGTAAAAAGCACACGACCGCGACTGCTCGAAATCGCCATTTCATTGTAACTTATTCAAAAGATAGCATCCGCGTCTATAATAAACGCATCAGCTCGAGGATATATTTTTTGTTCGAATATTAATAGTAAATGAGTGTATGTAGCGTTATAAATCTTATAATATACCTACCAGATGTTCCATTTAACGCAATTAGACACAATAGTTTAAGTCGTCAATGAAACAACACATTTTCTTAAGACGTGAGAATAATATAAGATGAAAATTGTATATTATTTCACTATTTTACCAACTTTTTTTAAGGACAATATTCATTTTTATGTCCTGATACCGAAACAGAAAGTAGCTGCTTTCCCAAGAATTTATTTTTGTTGATCGAAATGTATTTCGATTAATACATTTCGTTTTATAGAATACGAAATTAAAATCTTATGTGCTCGCATATCAAAAAGATAAAAATAAATACCATTTTAAAACGTTGTTTTGTGACGACCTACAATAACCACTGTGTAAAAAAATATAATCAAAAACGTTAGTGTTTTCTGAAATAACGAGTGTCTTACACGTCAAATGAATCACTCAGTATATTATACCGCGCTGTGTTAGAAATATTATGATTTGTAATGAGAATGTAAATTATAATTTCAGATACTCGCGTAACAATACAGATTATGGTAAATAAACGCGTGAAATGTACCTGATTTTTATGAACGTGTCTTTGATGGTTTCGCGAATGGAGTGGGCCTGTGCCTGAGACATTCTCCTCAGGTTCCGGGCTTCTTGCCGCAAGTCTTTTGCTTTTTTCTGCAGGACTCTCAGTTGATTGTACATTTCTGGCGTTAGGTGWAGATCTGAAATGATCGAACGACGACGTTATTCATCGCTCACGCGTTTACGTTTTTATCGGATTTCTGTACGTACAATATTTGCATTACCTAATTGCWGACTAATAGTATTGACTTACCGCTGTACAAGTGTCTGTCGTCATATTGTCCGGGTATGGCGGACGGCTTGGGCGGAGGATGAGGCTTAAATCTGTCTTTTTCTAAAAATCAATCACAACATGTCGTTAGAAAAAAATAACCGGTAGATACGCAATGGAATTACGTGGTAATGAGAATAAAAAATGAAAAATGATATTAACAAACACACGTGAGGTATACTAGTTTTCTAAAACTAAATATCTCTCGATACCGTCAAAATAAAAATAACGACGACTAAAGTGTATATCTACGGGTAAACGTATAACTAAGATGAAACGTTTTCACAAAACATTTCGCATCACTGTCGATAATATAATGTGTCGTAAAAAGAGGTTTATTCATGTTTGTTGTTCTATTTAAAAAAAAATAATATTTAATAATATGTCAACATAGACATCACATCCAGCAATAATTCGTGCGTTCCAAAATCGAATCAAGTCACTCGAAAAACCGAAACGAAGACCACTAATGAGATTTTGTAGAGACAAATGGATTTCAGTTTTTTCAGAGTTAGCTAGGTAGTGGAGTGAGATTAAAAGGGTTCTATTTAAATGATGATATTTCGTTTGAAAATACGAATTGACAACATAGGACGCACGATGGGTATTTGTATTTTAAAAGCGTATTTTAGAAAATAAGATAAAAACGTAACGTCATATTATTAATAGTACCTAACTGCATTTTATTTTAATGTATTTTTAAGAACGTAATATACTTTACAACGCTTTAATATAAATAACAACGATTTAAGTGGTTGTAGATAGTTTTATTTTTTTATTCTTGGAAATCCTAAAAGACGAAGACCGTATTTTATTTTTATACCAATATAAAAAAAAAAAAATTAAAAAATCAATAGCAACAAGAAAAATAAATTATTTGAAAGCTATCATTGTTCTAGCCGGCCGGTAGGATTTCTCTAGCATATTGTTTATTTTTTTTTATGTTCATGATTTCATGAAATCCATTACTTATTAATGTCTTAGTCTTGAGTTAGTTGTTTTCCTTCATCAGTGTTTTCATTACTGTAACCGTATTTTTGGTACAACAAGAAAACATTAGGAAATCAYGCAATATTTTTTTTATCGAACGGTATATATATAAAAAAATATAAAAATACCAACGCTTTGGTCCTTCACAATACAATTATACGTTATAACACATTAGCTACGAACGTAATTATTGGAATATTATCTAACTGTGAATACGTCGTAATGAATATTGAATTATTCGTACATACGACGTGATATTGTATTCTACACCCTTGTTGGTATTTGCCGACCGAAAAGTGCTTTTATAATAATAATATGGTTATCGGAATGGATAATAGTTAGAAAATTATGTACGAATATTAACGGTGCCCATTTTAATCGTAGGTGAGCGCAAAGCAGTGGCAAAAATAAGAATTTGGTTTGGGGGGGGGGATGTTATAATATGTTTTTGACAAAATTTGTAAGCCTCATTCATACAGTAATCTACCCCAGCAAATATAAAATGTTAGCAGTGAAATAAAAGTTTTGGTGGTATCTATCCCCCTCATGCCCCTTTAATTACGCCCCTGGCGCAAAGTGTGCTAACGTACATCGGCTCCATACACAATAGCAAACGTTGTCTTGGCATTATTTAATTTTTTTTTTTTAGGGAACAGTCGACAGATATTTTAGATAAGATTTTGACAAGAAATTGTTTCTACGAGGCACACTTATAAATATGAATTATAACAACACAGTTTAATATTTCCTTAAATATCGCGGAACATGCGATCAAAATATACAATTAAAACGACATAGGTAAACTGATGAGTGTTGTTAACTCATCAGTATGCAGGGTCAGAGTGTATAGATTTAGCGAACTCGAGTTATTGTTGTGAATTTTGATGAAAAAACAAAGGTATAGTAATAACTAACAGTTGATAATAAATCGATAAAAAACACGACAAAATTACAAGAAAGACTTTGTACCCATGATGATAGTCAACGAAGAGGGAAAATAAAATTGTATTTTTGTGTACTGATTGAAGCGAAAATATAATATCATATTATGATCAATATTGGAGGAAGAAAGTAAATACTATCTATCACAAACATGTCGAAAAATCTCGAAATATAATGTAAAAATTCTCAAAACTAAAAAATGTTCTTTTAGTGTGCGGCCAAAGTAATTATTAGAGCAGTAATATTTAGATATAATATTATTGTTGTTTACTACAAAAAAATAATAGGAMAATACTTGTTTATTTAAAGCGAAACAATAGTAAAAACAATGAAAAACATATCAAAGAGCTTTACAGAAAATAAACAAAGAAATGGGACGTGAAATGATATAATGCTAGATAATATCAGAAACCGAGATTTCTGATGTATATACCTAAATACGAGTTAATCTGTTGGTCATAAACAGGGCTAAAACTTATATGCAACAGCATGTTTTTTTTCGCGACTTCTGATTATTAATTTTGTAAGTAATGTCCACGAATCACCTCATAATGAGATAAATATTCGTATTTTTATTTTGCATGTTTTTGCATATTTTGGATAAAATGCATATTATTGCGTATGTTGAATAAAATAAATATTATTGCATATTTAGATTATAAGAATGCGAAAATGTTTTATAGAATATTTCGTAAAACTTGGTTTTTTGTCAAACTTACATTTTATTTTTATAAACACAATTCTATGATACAATCACTGCCCTGCTACCAAGAATTGCAGTAACTCCAAAAAGTGAAATGTTGAGAAATCGTGTTTAAAGGTTTTTTTAATTTTTGACCCAGAAGTTATTAYGTTTYAATGATTTTTTCTATAAATCATTTTTAATAGATGTAATGAATAAATGAATAAATAAATAATGAAAAACAAGTTATTTGTTGATATATTTTTTTGTACTTTATTCATTTTTTGTATGTTTTTTTACCACTTTTAAACATATTATAGGAGTTACTGCATTTTTACTTAGGAAATAACCCACATTAAATTTACAAAATGCAGTAAATCCATTCCTATGATTCTTAA